CTTTCTGTGGATGGAGTCCAGGTTTTGGGGTCGGAAGTGGTTTTTGTCTAAGACTGAACCGATGTTTTTGGCGTTTAATAATTGCATAGAGAATCCATTTCTCGTCACCGGTAACAATTCTGTCGAAAAGTGGTTCACTCGCATTGTGCGCCAGAAGAGACGAAGCAACGTTTACAGGTTGGAAACGACGATCATCGGAGAGTTCGTGAGGCACCCAAACATCTTCTTTATGGAGTTTTCCCATATTCATTAGATGTTTATGTATTGTTTCATGAGAGACATGCAATTTCATGGCCATTTCACGAGTTTGTTGCCTTAGGTTAGACTCAATAAGCGTCTTCAGAGCATCAATATCAATTCCAACATGTCGGCCCATGCCATCACAGTTTTAAAGGCTAAAGTCACCTGAACGAAATTTACTGAACGTTCAAAACATTTCTATAAACTTCTTTGATATTCTTTGAGGCTACAGAGGCATTGTTTCCCTTTTTGTATTCAAACAGCATTACATGCCGAATGTGTGTCTCGTCATGTGCTATCACTATAAAAGACTAGAGAATACTAATTTTTTACACATTATATAGGCTACACTAACGTGACATTTAGGCGGTTCGTTTAACTATTATACGTGATGTACGTTTTTTTTTTGGGGGGGGGGAGTGGTTAATGAAAGTGTTCCAAAACGCGACATTAATTTCTTGACGACTTAATATTTCGATTTCAAAAATGTGTTGCAACTTAGTAGGCTTTCTTATATGTGTCAATCCCACTTTCATTGGTAAAGAGTAACCCAATAGTTGACGGTGAGTGGTGTTCATTAGTAGCCTTTCCTCTAGTCTGTCACTTCTAAAGCAGAGAAGGCTAGCCTATTTAGTCCTCAATTGGCTTTGTGTGAAATTCAAAACAAACAGACAAACCTCGTATAAACTTACGACAGTGAAAACTGCAATGTTGGACAATAATGAACAATCATGACCATCAGGTTGGGTATGATCGACGATGGATAAAATAGTTCCAATGGCAACACGGGACCTGGAACACAGGTCTCATAAAATGCGATTAACCCCCTAGTAATAGCCTAAAAATACTGTAAAAAATAGGTTAATATTATTGATTCGTGTGAACGCAAATATAGAGCTGAAAGAAGTCAGACAGATATCTAGATTAAAGTTTTTTTATTATCAAAGTACGATATGCATTGAAAGTAATTGCAAACGGAAATATTACTTTAAATAAGAAAAAAACAGAAGAATAAATCTCAGTTTTGTGTTGTTAGGTATATATATAGTCAGGTCTGCAAATTATACTCTTACTCTTATTTAAAATACAATAATAATAAGATAAATACTTTTAAAATTCGATTCACCTTGATGGACACAGCAGGTAGCTTAATGTGACTTTGTTATAATACAAACAAACAAAGCATAAACCAAAAATATTTTCCATAGTATCAAATGATCTGATTGTATGGTAGTGTCCTCTATCGTCAATGTGTGAAGTTAGTACTTTAGTTTTTTATTTGTTCTTGATTTGTTAGGAAGCGGATGTGATTCGAATAATGAATAACTTATAAGAATGACTCACTAAAGCTTCTTCTTAAATAACATGTTACATTTATCAAAACCAAACTGTATGATAATAATAATGAAGTGAAGACAGGTGCTGCTTTAGCAGACATAGGAATGTTAAGTCATGTCTAAGTTAAGAGAACACAAACTATTTTTGAAATTCATTATGAAACTTTTTAATTCTCCTGTTTAATCTGACTTTGAAACTGATAATCTATCATAAGTGACACCTTCTAATAACGTGTATAAGTTTGTTTAGATGTCATTCTAGATTTACCTTTTGAAAATACGTTTTGCCGAAATATTTTCTCTAACTTTGTTTTGTTTTTGTTTTTTCTCGAACACCGATTTATACGTTGTTTATTTTTAGTTTACTTCTATTAATTAATTGGACTATATTATTGAATATGAAAGCTTTTAAGGAAGATAACATTTTAGGAACATTTTTATATTTTTTTAGCTACTTTTTAAAAAACTTAATGAACCTTACCGTGTCTTACATCATAGTATTTCGTAATCTCAGTAAGCTAAACCAAGACAAGTTATAGTTTACAAATTTTAGTAGTAAAGGTTGTTAAAACAGCCCATATTATAAATCTCAAGTTATTCATTTGCTTTGTAGAAAAGCTTACAGACAAAAAAGCTTATTTCGAGTAGCTTACATGTAACATTAAAAGAAATGGTACAATTATTTTATTCTGTGCATTAAAATGTGATAATTCAAAGAGCATTTCATCACATCGTGCTGACAAAGTCTTCTTTCAAAAAAGTATATATAAATTGCGAAAAAGCAACTTAGTTCCCACAATATCTAACTGTGTGGTTTCTGTTTAAATTTCTAAGAAATGGTTACCACAAATACTCTACTCCTTTCCTATTCCAATGCACTTTACTCGGAAGTTTCATCGTTTCATAAACGTTTTGGGTTAAGGATTTCTTTGACTCGACTTATTATTTATCGTCTAACCAATAATATTTTGATTATTCGCTCTTCACTTGCTCGTGCTGTGTTCATGTGAATGATGGGTAATGTATATGGTAATGTGAAGCTTAAAATCATGCTCAGTCAACTCTTTCTGGAGGTTTGTTGAAACTGGTGAAAATTTGCAAAATAAGGTTTAAATAGCACAGACAATGATATGGCAATTTATCCCATCTTCTTCCCTTATCTGTCTGTTTCTATAGGATTTTTTCGTTCCTCCGTGAGAAACGTCATGGAACGATAGAATTTAGTACTTCACTTGGTTGAAATAACATTAGTTCTAAACATTATGTTTGATCTGGAAAGATTTTAGCAATATTTTAAGATAAAGGCTATGGAATATTAAAGCTGAATAGATTACTTTAACCAGCTAACGTTTTTAGGGAATTCTAGAAGCAGTAAACTGATGGATCTTTTTTGGGGAATTCTAAAATAGTAGACTGATGGATTTTCTTTGGAGAATCTTAGAAGCAGAAAAATGTTGTATCTTCTGTGGGGAAGTCTAAAAACAAGAAACTGTTGTATCTTCTGTGGAGAATTCTAGAAAAAGAATTTTAGAAGCAGGAAACTGGTGTATCTTCTGTGGATAATTCTAGAATACAAAAGTGGTGCATCTTCTGTGGATAATTCTAGAATACAAAAGTGGTGCATCTTCTGTGGATAATTCTAGAATACAAAAGTGGTGCATCTTCTGTGAGGAATTCTAGAATA